TCTCTCTCTCTCTCTCTCTCTCTCTCTCTCTCTCTCTCTCTCTCTCTCTCTCTCTCTCTCTCTCTCTCTCTCTCTCTCGCTCTCCCTCCTGTCTCTCTCTCTCTCTCGCTCTCTCACACATACACATGCACATGCACATGTGCACACACGCACGCCTGCCGGTGCCAAGTGCAGGTGAAGCGGGATCTCGAGTACGCACAGCGGTTGATGGAGGAGGAGGAGGCGGCGTCGTCACAGCCATCATCATCGCAGTCGCTGCCAGTGACCATGTCTTCCACAACGTCGTCGTCGTGTGCGCCTGGCGAGGCTCTGTCGGCAAAGGCGATTGAAGCGGGCGTGGTTGCGCGCGGACATGACAGACAAGGATTTACGGCAACAGCAGCCACTCATTCCAGCACGTGAGTGAGTGAGTGAGTGAGTGTGTGTGTGTAAGTGTGTGTGTATACGTGTGTGTACGTGTGTACGTGTGTGTAAGTGTAAGTGTGTGTGTGTGTACGTGTGCGTAAGGGTGCAAGTGTAAAAGTGTGTGAAACGGCGTCTCGCGCCAGTGAAACTTGTTGTCACGTTGCCATCACACACATTTGTACACCCCCCACCCTCCACATGTTGTACTTGCGCGTGGTACTGCAGATCACAGCGGCGGCGGCCGAAGTTGACGCGCAGCGCATCGAGCGGCGCGGGCCGGGCGAGGAAAAGAGCAAAACACCAGCAGCAGCAGCAGCAACGCAGGTCCAAGGTGGAGAGGCGGCGCACCATTGAATCGTTCATGAGCGAGGTCAGACACACCCCCCCCCCTCTCAACGTGCTGGCATGGTTCCCTTGCATCGTGCATCGTGTATGTATGTGTTGGGGAACATGCATCCAGCGTGAATTGTGGTTGTTTGAGTTGTTTTCTGAACCATGTACTTGGTGCGTTTGTGCATGTGCACATTCTATCGCTTCTTCTCTTTCGCTTCCACACACACAAACACGCACATATGCACACATCTACACATTCGCACACGCACACTCATGTGCACACATCCACACATTCGAACACATGCACTTACACTTACACACACACTCACACACATTCACGCACACATTCACACACACACACATGTGCACCCGTGTTCTAGCAGGCGGCCAGACCACGCCGACGGCGTGACCACGCCACGCAGGTGCTGGATGACGATGGTGAAGACGTAACAGGAAACGGACATGGTGACAGCACCTCATCGCACACGCGCGGACCACAGCACGGGCACACAGCAGCAAGGAGGAGACACAAGGAACACCGCGGCGTTGAAGCAGGTCACGGTGACTGTTCTTCCTCGAGCAGTGGTCGTGGTGCTGAGGCAAGACTGCCGACGCACACGCAATGCCCCATCTGCTTCCGGCCGATCCATAACGACCTGATTGTTCCACATGCGGCGTCGTGCACGGGCCACTGGACGCGGCAACATTGCGACGGCGACGATCACCATCATGACGACGACGACGACGACGACAACGACGACAGTGATGCAGTGGTGGAGGTCCACCACGACCACGAGCGTACGCGCACGAGGCACCAGTGACTGTTGGGCTGTGAGTGGTGGAGGTGGTGGCGGTGGTGATAATAATGTATGGTGGTGGAACGTATGGATAAGCAACTTCTTTTTGTTATTGTTATGCTCACAACACAAATGGTAAATGACTGACAAATCTGCTTGATCAAGGGGAGACAGTCAGTCAGAGGGTGTGTGTGTGTGTGTGTGTGTGTGTGTGTGTGTGTGTGTGTGTGTGTGTGTGTGTGTGTGTGTGTGTGTGTGTGTGTGTGACAGAGAGGGGAGGGGAGCAAGCACGCACTCAAACATGCGCAGCCAACATGCGCAGCCGATCATGTATGGCCTATTTCTATTACTTAGACATATTTATGGGCCAATGAAGATTGTGCAGAAGCAAGCAGTGGCGAAAACACCGATGATGATGCAACCGCCCAACGACCCGTTCTTGCTTCATCCTGAGCATAGGATGGTGTGCCTCGACAACGATGTGTGCTTCACATCATTCGTTCTCACATTTCACGTCTCACTGCGGCAAGCAGAAGCACGACTTGCCTGTCGCCTACCCCAGCCAAGGCTAGAGCTGCACAACAACCATGACAGACCAACACGACAATGCAAGCACCAACGGTGGGCAGCCGCCATCAGTGCACATCCACGACGAGGTGTGTGCATGAGAGAGAGAGAGTGTGTGTGTGTGTGTGTGGGTGGGTGGGTGGGCATGCGTGAGAGAGTGAGGGTGTGCATGAGAGAGAGTGTGTGTGTGTGTGTGGGTGGGTGGGTGCCTTCTTCTTCTTTCTCTTTGTCTGCCTCTTTGTCTGCCTCTTTGTCTGCCTCTTTGTCTGCCTCTTTGTCTTCCCCTGCGTGTGTTGTGTGTTGCACGTCAGTGCCGTAGTTCACGGCAAGAACCTCTCACACGCAAACACACACCAACAAACCCACAGAGCGTGGACATGCGGACGGACAGCTACAGGCTCGCCATGACGCATGCACAGGAGCCGTCGTTTCCGGTGCCACACATCATCGCGGAAGACCCGTCACAGCGCCGGAAAAGAAAGAAAAAGAAGCGCCTGCAGCAAGGACGCTCCACAGAATCACAGAGCCCTGATGGCAGCCAAGATTCGGACCAGGAAACCAGCCTCGCCCAATCCAGCCCAGGCCTGCTGAAAGTCCCTCGTATGTTAGAGAGAGAGAGAGTGTGTGTGTGTGTGTGTGCGTGTGTGTGTGTGTGTGTGTGTGTGTGTGTGTGTGTGTGTGTGTGTGTGTGTGTGTGTGTGTGTGTGTATGAGTGTTGGCGAGGTATAGGGGGGGGTTGGGGCCGGGCTTGTATGCTATATGGTGAGGGGTCCCTCGTCGGGATGGAGTGTCCGAGACATCCCCGTGTTTTTATAGTGAGCAACTAGTCGTTGTGTATAAGACGTCCCGACTACCGCCGCGACGCATGCCTTCCGGTGGGTATGAGGGGGAGAGTCGTGTTGAGTTTTTATGGCAGTAGCTCTCTCACTG